AAAAAAAAAAAAAAAAAAGACCGTTGGAAATCTAAGATTGATTAGTAACCAGGGACTTTTTCTCTAGGTAGCAATAGGTTTAGTACTGCAACAGATCAAAATTGTCAAAGTCCAGATAAAGTAGATTAAAAAATAAAATGTAGTAAGCCATTGATCTTTAAACTAAGTTTTTTTTGTTACAGATTGCCATCTGTGTTGTTTCTACCAGGCCTACAAAACTTAAGAGACAAATATTTACCAGTTACTATCCTTTCTCTCTTCTGGTACTCCAAGTATTTCCTGCTTCTCAAATCATTAAGACCATTTGGATCATCTCATTAATTCAATGATTCACTTATTTAGATGATATTGAGTACCTACGAAATACCAGTTAGCATATCAGTCACTGAGGATACATAGATGAAGAGATGTTGTCCATACCTGTAAAGATTCTGCAGTCTAGTCAAATGCTAGAAAATACCTTTTTATTTTTTTTAAGTTTGTTTATTTACTTTTGAGTGAGGGGGAAGGGGCAGCGAGAGAGGGAGAGAGAATCCCAAGCAGGCTCTGTGTTGTTAGGGAAAAGCCCATGCGAGGCTTGAATTCACGAATGGTGAGGTCGTGACCTGAGCCAGAATCAAGAGTCAGGTGCCTAACCGACTGAACCACCCAGGCACCCCTACAAATACCGTTTTATAAAAATTTTTTTAAGAATGAAAAATGTTGCTGGGGCGCCTGGGTGGCTCAGTCGGTTAAGCGTCCGACTTCGGCTCAGGTCATGATCTCATGGCTCAGGCTCTGTGCTGACAGCTCAGAGCCTGGAGCCTGCTTTGGATTCTGTGTCTCCCTCTCTCTCTGCCCCTCCTCCCGCTCATGCTGTGTGTGTGTGTGTCTCTCTCTCTCAAAAATAAATATTCAAAAAAAATAAAAAATAAATAAAATGAAAAATGTTGGGGCTCCTGACTGGCTCAGGATTTTGAGTATGATCTCAGGGTTGTGAGTTTGAACCCCATGTTGGTATAGAGACTACTTAAAAATAAAATCTTAAAAAAGAATGAAAAATGTTTGGAGCACTGGCTGGAAGTACATGGATTTTGTGGATTGCATTTCTGTGATGTTTCTCTGTTTCTTTTTCCTTTTTTAAAAAGTATATATATTTTTAAATGTTTTATTTTTAAGTAATCTCTGTTACCCAGTGTGGGGCTCAAACTTACAACCCTGAGATCAAGAGTCGCATGCTCTACCAACTGGGCCAGCCAGGCACCTGCATTTCTCTAATATTTCCTATACATTGGTAGTTGACTGAAGAATTGGTCAGATTTAGCTTTGATTTTTTTTTTTTCTGGCAACACTACTTTATAATTTCGTTATATCAAGAGGCACATGTTGTTTCGTTATATCAAGAGGCACATGTTTTTTTTTTATGTCGCCAACCTTTAATACCTAATGTTTGTATCTATTAATTCATTAGCAGTTGCCAAATGGTGATATTCTGGAATATTTCTAAAATAAGAAACTTCCTGTCATCTGTCTGGTTGCACAGAGTTACAATTTGTATAACAAATGCAGAATAACACTTGTTTTGCCTTTACCAGTTTTCAAAATACTGAATTGGAACATATTCTCCTCTAAAGGTGATTGTTTACGGTTTTTTGGTCGTTATTAACTCATGGATTTAAACAATTTGGTGTGTGTCACAACATACTGAAGTTATTATCCTTATTGACCCTCACATTGTCCCAGTTTTGGCCAATGGTGTATTGTTTAGATTTACTCCTGAGTCCTTTTGACACATCCTTGGTAGACATTGAAAGCTTCCTTGCAATCTGGTATGACAAGATGTCTTAGGCTCATTTGAACATTTTCTACTCAGACATGAAATCACCCCTTTTTCCAAAATGCCCTGGTTTCTAGTAGAGGCAAATGGTATTTCAGGAGCATAATCTGGGCATACGATAAAGATGCTCATTATTTTTAGGAAAGCTGCAGGCAGGCAGAGGGAAGAGGCTCCAAGACGCACATGCTCCAGGACCTCCTATGACTCACTGAATCCACTTCTGAGCAGCAATGACTGAATACTTTATCAGATAGATATGTTCTTTTTTTTAACATACATACTTGAATAGGTGCTATACTTATATGATTCAGAAATCATAATGATGGGAAAAGATATATGCAGAAATTTCTTTCCACCCCTATTCCCATCCACCCTGTTTCCTCAATAAAGATAAGCTTTTTTTTTTTTTAATAATGAGCCCTTCCAGTGTTTCATTTCAGAGTCAAGCAAATACAAATATTTTACTACTGCCTTATTTCATAAAAGCCTCTTGTTTTATTGACTTATTTGTATACTCGGAGGATCCTCTTCTACCAGCACATAAAGAAGTTTCTCATACTTCTTTTTATAGCTGCGGAGTAAGTCTCAGTAGTCAGTAAAATAGTTTATTTAACTCATCCCTGACAGATGGGCGTTTGGGCTATTTCTAACCTGCTGCTGTTAGAAGCAGTGTTGGATGAATAGCTTTGTTCACCTGCCTCTTGGAATTTGGTTCACATATCCCTTTAGCATAAAATCCCAGAAGTGGGAAAGTAGGGTCGCTGGGTCCAACATCACTGCCCTTGTTGTTTGAGGAGATGGTGCCCGGTTGTCCCTCCTGGTGCTTCTACTGGTTTGTGCTCCCAAGTACCCATTTCCCCACAGGTTCTCCAGCAGAGCATGGTGTCAGATTTTGTTATTTTTTTGATATTCTGCTGCATGAAACGTGGTATTTCAGTGTTGTTCATATTTGCCTTTTTCAAAATTAAGTGAAGTTGAGCATCTTTTCATGTTTGAGGTCCTTTTGTATTTCTTTTCTGATAATGTATCTTCGTGTCCTTTGACCCATTTTCTTTGGGGCTCTTGGTCTTTCTCTCAAGATTAGACTTTTGTCTGTGCTGTGAGCTTCACTTCATTTTTCCCAGTTTGTCATCTATTGTATGAGTTTGCTTATGTGTGTACATGGTTTTTTAAACCATGCAGAAATATTCTTTTATGTAGTCAGATTTGTCCCATTTTTCTTTTATGGTTTCTGGATTAGCAGGTTTCTTCAGAGGTACATTAAAAATAGCTTTAGAAGGAATCTGCATGCAAGCACATGTCCAGCAAGCACACTAAATTTCCAGTTTTCACCACCGCCATGCTTATTTTAGCACTGTGCGCTCTGATCAGCTGTTGGGACAAGCTGGGTTTCCCTGCAGCTGCGGCTGGTGATGCCTCCCGCTCAGGAGGCCACTAGGGCAACATCTGCCCACATCTTTTGGGCCCCTCTGCCTCTGTCTCCCTTTAGCCCAGCTCAAAGGCCTCCCTCCACTCTCTGAGGCTCCCATCTCAAGGTGTGGGGAGAAAAGGATCCCTGTTAGACTGTGTTCCTGGAGTAGATGGCCTGTCACAATTAAGCCCCTGACTGGCACCTCAGCCTTGACCCCCAGGCAAGTTTTTGCCTCCTGGGCATCCTGCACACACGGGTCACGATTCTTTCCAGCCTTCGTTATAACACCTACAGCTCGTCTTCTGGCTGCTTAATGACTGCAGTCTTCTCTCCTGCCACCTGCCAGCACACTAATATTTACAAGCAGGGCTGGGGATCCTCTCCCAAAACGCACATATATTGTGCACACGCGCACACATATACACGCCTCCCGAGGTGAGCTCTGGCAGCTTAACCAACAGCCAAGCGTATCATGGCAGCACTTGGCTCCATACCCAGCGCATACCCAGTAGCACCGTACCCAGCACAGCCACCAGGTATACCTGTGTTGTTGGTTTTTTATGATCCAATAATTTTCCCCAAAGTGAAACTATCGCAAAAAATGAATAGAGATTCTTGTGCTATCCAGTAGGAAATTAAAGGCTAAATTTCTAAGCCTGATGTGCTGTCCAGCCTGTGTGAACCTCGTGGCAGCCTTTCTTGGTGGCCTTTCTGTGCCATCATCCAGGTGGCTCAGTGTGACAGACAGGGGAGTCATCTGGTCACGATGACAGTCCATGTGAAAAGCTCCTTCCTCACATTCATTTCTGTGCATCCTCTTAAATACTGAAGTTTGTGCTGCGGTGTTTATTTTGTTTGACAAGGCTTCATCCATTTGTACTGAGACCATGATTTTCTCTTAAAAGAGTGTTTTGTTTCATTTTTGTTTTGTCTGTGAACCAAGAGTAAACATAGTGTCTTCAAATTTAGGAGAATTTGAAAGCCATGAGTACATTTCAAAATCTAGTATATCAAACTTTTCTTAAAATAATGAAGAGTTAACTTTGAGTCATAGAGTATAATTTTTTTTAATTTGTTACTTTTACAGAAAAAGACACTATGGACGTATGGTGTAATGGTAAAAGAATGGAGACAGCAGTAAGTTGACCCTCTGATTACTCTTAGCACCATGAGTATAGTTGCCATTGAAATGTTGCTGCATTTCCTAATTATGGAGATTGATAATTAACCAAGGTCATCTCGGTTAATCTCTAAGAACAAGATGAAGTACCCTTGACTCCAAATTCTGAAGACCTTTCCCAGACAGCGCCTGGGGACAGGAAGGGCATGGAAACACCTTATGTTGCGAGCTGGCATCAGCTCTCGCCAGCTGGCACCTTTCCTCGCCTGGACCAGACTCTGTCCTAAAAAGCATCCACACATCAAAAACTGCCCCCCCCCCCAAAGTTTGGCCTCCTCCTGTGTTTTTCCAAGTTCAGGTGGGGCTCTATACCTCCACTTCTCAAATCTGCATGCATAGGAATCACCTGGGATCTTGTTAAATGCAAACTGTGACACTTCCCTTGGTGCTGCCAATGCTGCTTGTCGGCCCATGGGTCACACTTTGAATAGGAGGGCTTTACATATACCATACTCAAAGCAGACAGTACTTCTCTAAAAGAAAAGTTTTTGAAAAAGAAGTGCTGCACACGGTGTCGGATGACACAAAGGCAGAGAGGAAAGGGCACTGTTGCAAACCCCAGAAGACAAGTGGAATTTGTAGACCAGCAGTGCCAGGAGGGTACACCGCTCATTGAGGCCAAGCACGACATCCCCGTCACACCCCAGAGTGTTGGGCCCCTGCCGTCAGCTGCTTGCATTGTTATATGGGATGGATATTGGGATGAATTCGGTGAGGATGAAGTAATAGCGGTGTGCACAGCACAGGGAGCAAGTGGAGACAGGAGACCAGCATGGAAAGCACAGAGTGTGGGACTGGGAGCTCACGTCCCTGGGTGGACATTCCGGAGGGCTGTGGGGTCTGCTGGCCAGCAGGGGGCACCATCCCTTGTACCCACCTTTCATGCTAGCTCAGACGTGGCCTTCTGGGCTAGAGGTGACAAGACTCTGCTGTTGTTACGTTTTAGCTAGTTGCACATTGTAGTTGCTGCCATTGTCTCCTTGTCTGTTGTCGGGATAGGAAGGTGGGGAGAGGTGCTCGGAAGGCAGGAGGTCCGGGATGAATTTATTCAGCAGGCTACCGAAGACCTGCTGGGTCTCGTGGCTGTCTGCTTCTGAGGAAGTGCCCACGCCAGAAATCAGAAGTTACAAAGATAAATGCCTCTCTCTTTCTTACTCCTGGTATGAATTCTTGAAGGGATATTTAACCAGGGCTCACTCAACGATCCCCAGAGCTTGAGCCACTCACTCTCCAAGTTAAATCCACTGTTAGAGACTTCTTTTATTCAGAGGCTTGGTGAGCACTTCAGTGTTTCACGGCCCCTTGTGGAATCCATTAACGTAGATCAGGCACCTGCTGTGTACCCTATGCCACACCTGGTGGTTCTTGCTGTTCTTTCTTTCCTACCCTGGAATTCTCTAGATGCTCAATCATCAGTTTTTAATCCCCTTCCCTCCCACCCTCAAGGAATTCTCCAGTGCAGATGTAAAGAGAACATTGTTTTGTGGTGTTAAGAATGTGGTCTGTGGTCGTAAATAAGAACTTAACGATAATGTTTATCCACAATGTCTTTGTTGTTCAGTTATTAACAGGGAAGCACAAGTGTTTGGACAATAGCCCTTTACAACCCAGTTGCTTCCTTATTGTAACTACAACCTAATTTGCAGTGTGGTGTTGGCAGCTCTGTGTCTGGGCAGCCTTCCCCAGCACAGTGCACACCTGAGTTGGTTTATTTTCTCTCCTTTTTCTTTTCATCTCAAAGCCTCATGACCAAGATTATGTATCTGTGAGATTGTGCCCCCGCAAGGTGTCAGTACACCTCCCATAAAGAGCCATTGGCCAGAATCTTCTCAGAGCTCAGAAAAAGCTCTACCCAGTGCATCCCATGCTTTCATTGGTTGGATAATATCAGCTACGGGACCTTGCTCTGTCCACTTTGGCTGCCAGGAAGCTCATAGCCAAGTTTTAAGTCTGCTTGTCATTTCTTTGCTTTCTGGCAGAATTCACGTTTATCCTCCAAGCCTCCTGTTCCTTCCTTCTCTGTACTACTTGGCCCCGATCTTTTTACTCTAGATGTTCAGTAGAAATACAATATGAGCCACAGATACGAGTTTCTTGTGTAACTTTTCTAGCAGCCACACTAAAAAGTCTTAAGATGAAATTCATCTTAATAATATATTTGGTTTAAATCAGTATATCCAAAATATTATCATTTAACATGTAATCAACATAAAAAGTTTTTAGAGTTATTTTACATTCTCTGTTTCATTCTCAGTCTTCCAAACTCAGTGTATATTTTACGTTTAAATAGCACCTTGCATTTCAGAGTCCCCACATCTCACGTGCTCAATTGCCACCTGTGGCCGGTGGCTACTGTGTCTGGAAGAACAGGTCTAGACTCGGTAGTGTTTGCTTTTATGTGACCTGTGTGTTTTACAGTAAATCACCTTACATTCTGAGGAATCAGATTTTCAGAGTGGGTAAGAACATCCCATCCCTTCCTGAAGGGGGCCCTCAGCAACTATTTCACCACTCTGTGCCTCAACCTCCTCACCTCTGCAGTGTGGATAGTAATAATACTTCTAGGACTATAGTAATAGTACTTCTAGTCTATAGACAGGGCTATGCGAGGACACCCTGAAATAATGCATGCGAGCTGTTCTTGATATAGAACAAGTAACTTGGTATAAAGTATGTGTTTGCTATCATGTTTATCATTTTTACTTTTAAAAATAGTTGATACTGTCTACATAGAACATGTTATAGTCACCTAGCCACGTGGTGTAGGGTTTTTTTTCCCCCTGAAACATAAGATTCTATAATCTTGAGGGGTACAGGTAAGAAATTTTCGGTTCATAGCAGAGATGTAAAAGCATCTAGCAATACAAGGTTCTAACTTTAATTTTCCAAAGTTTAACATTTAGCTGATAGATACTTCATTATACTACACTTTTAGATGGTGTTAATGCTCTAGACGAAGATAAATGTTTCTGGAACACTAATTCCTCCTTCTTTTGTTGGCCTAGGGTGAGTTTGTAGATGACGGGACTGAAACTCACTTCAGTGTTGGGAACCATGACTGTTACATAAAGGCTGTCAGTAGTGGGAAGCGGAAAGAAGGGATTATCCATAGTCTCATTGTGGATGATAGAGAAATTCCGGAGATTCTTGAATGACTTCATGATGGTGCGTTTTAATCTTAAGAAGTAAAGATCAAGACTTTTAAATTACCGTGGTAATTAAATATGTTCAAGATGTACTTTTTAGTACACTTAGTCTCCCAACTGTTTATTTTTTAGTTACTTAAAATGGTAATATTCCAAGGGTCAAAAAAAAATTATGTACAATCATAAAGATTGCAATTTATTTTGTAAATAATGTAAAGTGTTTTAAAGCCAAATGGAAAATAAGATATGGACCAAAATCACTAATGTTTTACAAGAGGAACTTTAACTATAATAAACACTGTAAAATAAAATGGGTGCTGCTTGATTTGTGTTTCTAAAAATGGATGTCTTTGTATATTTTTAACCTATGCAGATAGTCTCTTTAGTTTAAAGCAGTTGGTACATAATGACATGGTTAGTTTAACTGGAGAAAATGAGAAACATTTTCTATCTGGAAACTTAATGTCAAGTCGTGTCACAGAAGAATTTAATTAAAAATGGGTTTCTGGAAATGTAGTCATTTTGTTTAATCAGCACAGTAGGGGCAAATTAACAAGAGAAAGAAAACAAACTTCTTTACACCAGCCTGCCTCACTTGCATCCTCAGGCAGTATTTACTAAAGTCAGAGTTGCTGGGGCACCTGGGTGGCTCATCAGTTGAGTGTCTAACTCTTCACCTCAGATCACGATCTTATGATTCATGAGATCGAGCCCCACGTTGGGCTCCGCGCTGACAGTGCAGTCTGCTTGGGATTCTCTCTCTCTTCCTATCTCTGCCCCTCCCCCTGCTTGCATGTGATCCCTCTCTCTCTGTCTCAAAATAAATACATAAATATTAAAAAAAAAAAAAAAGCTGCATATGGTGTGGGGAGATAGCAACAGCGTGAAGCAGGCCCACCCAAGCACACTCAGAGAGTGCCTCGTCAGGACAGTGAGTGCTTGAGAATTCATTCAGTACTCTTATGGTCTTTCAAGGCAGGATATGGTTTAATAGTAGGACCCTTCATCACAGTATCTCCTGTCTATTCTCACATGGTAATCCTCTGTGAGAGGACGGATTGATTCTCCGTTTTCTACACTTGCTCTGTCTGATATGGGAGCCATTAGTCATGTGGCTATTTAAGTAAAATTACATACAATTAAAAAATTCAAGTCCTTTATTACACTAGCCACATTTCAAGTGCTCAATAGTCACCTGGGGCTAGGGGCAGCCATATTGGACAGTGTAGATACAGAACATATCCATCATCCTACCATATTCTGTGGGGACAGTACTGGCCTGGATACAATGTCTCAAGTATAGTGAGTTGCTCACTAGTGGCGCTGGCAGGATGTAAACCCAGGTTTTTCCTGACCCTGAAGCCCATCCCTTTGTATCTCCCTGCCACTAACCTATTTCTAAGAGATTTGGGGCAGAACAGAGGCACAACCAGGTTCAAGTACCAGGAACAGGAACTAAGGGGAGAACAGAGAGAGGGAAGGTGCTGGCTCCACCAGGTCTGGGGTAGGCAGGCGACATGGTAGGTGGCAGAGCAAACGTATTAAAATTAGCCTTTGACTCTTTGCTTCCTCTAACTTTTTTTTCAAGTCTTCACAACTGGCGGGTCACTATACTACCTTCACAGAAATGATCCCCTGTTCTCCACCCCCACTTTGCATCACAGCCACTGGAAAACTAGGAGGGGAACTAAGAGAGACTCTTCCAAGGCTTCTTCAACTCACATTTGGGTTTGCTTTCAAGTGTTTGGGTATTTTCTCTTCTCTTAAATAATGGGCTTCTTTTAATGGCCGTATTTTATCTGGTACCAAAACAAATGTTTTATTTATTTATTAGAGAGAGGGCGCAAGTGAGTGAGGGGCAGAGAGACGGACAGCAGTGGGGGTCATGCACACCCGAAGCAGGGCTCCAACTCACGAACCTCGAGATATGACTTGAGGCGAAGTGAATGATTAACCGACTGAGCTGCCCAGGCGCCCCCAAAAACAAATGTTTTAGACTTAAGTTGAAAAGCAAAGCAAATGTTGAGGTGCCTGGGTGGCTCAGTCAGTTGAGCGTCCAACTCTTGATTTGGGCTCAGGTCATGATCTCCCAGTTCATGGGTTTGAGTCCTGCGTCGGGCTCCGTGCTGAGCCTTATTCAGCGCAGAGCCTTATTTGGGATCCTCTCTCTCTGCCCCTCCTCATTTGCTGTCTCTCTCTCTCTCTCAAAATAAATAAACTTAAAAAAAAAAAAAAGCAAGTGTTTTTAGGTACCTTGTGTTGAACTTTAGTTATTAGAGGTCAAAACCTGTTTTCAGTGTGCATCATGTCCCACATCAAATACTTGGGCATACAGTTTGATTTAACCTTTGTGGAAATCAAACCTGGGGACAGGGTTTTGCCTTTGACTTGGTGAACCGATGTTCTGTGTTGTTCATTTGAAGCAGTATGGTAATATAACAGTGCAGCCTGGATTTGAAGTTAGGCACAGGTCAGGTTCCTGAGCCTCAGTCTCTTCATCTTAAAGATAAAAGGCTATTTGTTTTGTTGTTTTAGTTGTTGAATGAGGTATTTCAGATGTGCAACATATAGAAAATAATATAACAGACAGTTGTATTATTTAACTGGGTTATACCATTTACCCAGTTTAGTAACTAAAGCATTACATTGCAACTGAATTGCCATGTACCTTCCCAATTCCCAGTCCCCTGCCTTGCCCAGATAATCACTGCCGTAATTTTCTTTTCTTTTTTTTTAATTTTTAATGTTTATTTATTTTTGAGAGAGACAAAGTGTGAGCAGGAGAGGGGCAGAGAGAGAGGGAGACACAGAATCTAAAGCAGGCTCCCGGCCCTGAGCGGTTAGCACAGAGCCTGACGTGGGGGCTCAAACTCACAAACCGTGAGACATGACCTGAGCTGAAGTCAGATGCTTAGCTGACTGAACCACCAGGCGCCCCTGCCATAATTTTTTAAAAAGATTTTAAAGTAATCTCTACACCCAATGTGGGTCTTGAACATACAACCCCGAGATCGAGTCACATGCTCTACTGACTGAGCCAGCCAGGCACTCCTCACTGTTGTAATTTTGATGTTTGTCATTCTCATGCAAGTCTATATTCCTTTCCTATATAAACATATATCCCTAAACAGTACACAATACTATTTAAAATTTTAAATATCCTCTTCATGTATCCTTCCTGCAACATGCTTTTTTTTCCCCACTCAACATTGTTTTTGAGATTTATCTAAGTTGATATGTGCAACTCAAGTTTCTTTTCACTCTTGCATTCAACCATACAAATTTAGTCATCCACTCACCTCAGTTTTCAGATGATCAGTAATACCATCAGTGCTCTAATGAACATCTCTGTGTATGTCCCTTGAGGATATGCTTAAGAGTTTCTCTTGGGCCTTGCTATTTAAAGTGTGTCATTGAACTAGCAGCAATGACATCATCTAGGAGCTTGTTAGGAGTTAAGAATCTCCCGTCCTTCCCCAGGCATACTCAGAGTCTGTGTTTTAATAAGCCCCCGTGGTGATTTATATGTACGTCAAAGATTAAGAAGCACTGCCCTTAATACACTCAGAAGTGGGATTGCTAAATCAAAGGTAGGTGTATCTTCAGTATCACTAGACATTTGCCAAATTGTTCTCATAGGTGGTTGTGCCATTATAAATTTTGACCAGAAGTTCTTTTCTTCATATCTTCAACTGGAAGTTGTCAAGATTTTAAAATTTTGCCAATCCAATGTTTTTTTTTTTTAAGTGGTGCCTCATTTTATTTTTATTATTTCTAACGTTTTTATTTATTCATTTAAGTAATCTCTACACCCAACATGGAACTGAAAATCATGACCCTGAGATCAAGAGCCGCATGCTCTTCTGACTGAGCCAACCAGGTGCCCCCCTAAAAATGGTATCTTATTTTAATTTTTCTCTGATTACTAGTGAAGTCGAGTCTCCTACGTGTTTATTGGACACTCAGGTTTTCTCTTCCAAGAATTACCTTTTCATTTCTTTTGCATGTTTTTCTACTGAGTTGACATTTTCTAATAGGTTTGTAATAGTTCTACATATATTCTGGAGCTAATCTTTTAGCTGTAGCCTTTCTCTTACAGCAGTACAAAATGTGCAAGGTATCAACAAGTCTCCCAGTCATCCCTCTAAATTAGCACAGTTATCTGCTTCGTCTAACAAGCTTGGAGTGCAGGGACCACATACTGCTGGATCCCCCAGGAGCTAGCACACTCCCCACTGACGATAGACAGATTCATGTTACTGCGGTTCACAGGTCTGGCCTGCAGCTATACATGTGGGCAGCAATGGGAATGAATGGCATCAATGAACAAGTGTGTAGACCAAAAAAAAAAAAAAAAAAAAAAAAAAAAAAAAAAAAGAAGGGAGTCTAAGATTAAATCCTGAAGAGCTATAGCATCTGAGACTGGCTAAGGGCAAAGAAGATCTTAAGTAAGGAAATCACGAAGCTATAAAATAAAATACAGACATATTTGACTATGTAGAAATTTTAAAGTTGCAAGGTAAAAAAGTACCATAAAAAAAGGTAATAAACAATATGGGGCCCCTGGGTGGCTTAGTCGGTTAAGCGTCTGACTTGGGCTCAGGTCATGATCTCACAATTGGTGAGTTCAAGCCCTGCACTGGGGTCTGTGCAGACAGCTCAGAGCCTAGAGCCTGCTTTAGATTCTGTGTCTCCCTCTCTGCCCCTCTCCCACTTGCATTTTCTTTCTCTCTCTCTCTCTCCCTCCCTCTCTCTCCCCCCCACCCTCTCTCTCAAAAATAAACATTAAAAAATTTTTAAATAAAAATAAATGCTCAAATTAATTTATAGTTAGGGAAATTATTTTAACAATGAAAACAGCCAACAAAAAAAAACCCCCACAAAACAAAGACATATTGCTGTCTGAGATGTGGGAGGGTACCCCTTTATACCATGAGGGTGAAATAAGTATTTTAAGTTCTTAGTAAGACAATCTGACATTTACTAAATTTAAAAATTCAATTTACAGGTGAACCTAGGTGGTTCAGTTAAGCAACCAACTCTTTATATCGCCTCAGGTCATGATCTCACAGTTCATGAGATCGAGCCCTGTGTTGGGCTCCACACTGAGCATGGAGATTGCTTGGGATTCTCTTTCCCCTCTCTCTCTGCCCCTGCCCCACTTGTGTGTGCGCTTGCTGTCTCTCAAAATAAATATATTTTTAAGTTTATTTATTTGAGAGAGAGAGAGAGAGCGTGCACACAAGTGGGGGAGGGGAAGAGAGAGAAAAATCCCAAGAAGTTTCCACCTATGGTCCTCGTGCAGAGCCCAGCACAGGGCTCCAACTCACGAAACTGCAAGATCATGACCTGAGCCGAAATCAAGAGTCAGCAGCTTAACTGACTGAGCCACCCAAGTGCCCCTCAAAATAAATAAACATTAAAAAAATTAAAATTCCATTTACATAAAGTTCAAAAACTTTTAGAAGTCCATATAATGCTCACCATTTAACCCTGGGAATGTTGACTGATTCTACCGGAGGCCAAGAGACTAAATAGCATTTTTTATAGTTCAGCAGGGCTGGGGGGACAAAACGGGGTCCAGGAATGCCAGTGTTGGGGGGCAACTCTAGCAAAACTCCCACATTTTGCGCTGGAGCCCCAAAGAGCATAACTTAAGAAGTAATAAAGACTTTTTTCTTGAAATTAGTTACCTTGGATGTGAGTAGCCAGCATAAATAAATACACAGCAAATGAGACAGGACAACATGAATTGGTGTTAGCAAAAATAATGCAGCAATAGAAACAGACCCATAGGGGGGCGCCTGGGTGGCGCAGTCGGTTAAGCGTCCGACTTCAGCCAGGTCACGATCTCGCGGTCTGTGAGTTCGAGCCCCGCGTCGGGCTCTGGGCTGACGGCTCAGAGCCTGGAGCCTGTTTCCGATTCTGTGTCTCCCTCTCTCTCTGCCCCTCCTCCGTTCATGCTCTGCCTCTCTCTGTCCCAAAAATAAATAAACGTTGGAAAAAAAAAGAAACAGACCCATAGGGGCTGCGGTTTAAGAGTTCATTAAAGATGTAGAACTTAACATAACTATGTTTAAAATGTTCAAGATAACAAAAGACAACTCTGAGAATTTCAAAGGGAACAGGAAAAAAAAAAAACCAAGATACTATGCAAAATTTAAATAGAACCAAATAGAAATTGTAGAATTGAAAAATATACAATGAAATTAGTAACTCAAAATCAGAAAAATACAAAACTGGAAGAGATGTAAGAAGAAAATATCTAGAAGAAAAATACAAAGAGATTACAGAGAAGAGAGTAATAAATACAGACTGCACAGTTAAAGGTCAAATAAATATAAATGGAGTTGCAAAAGGAGAGAAGTATGCAGAAGCAGATTAGAAGAGAGATTTCCAAATGATGTAAGGTAGCAAGCTATAGATTCAAGAAGTTCTGCAGACTATAACCAGGAGAATACAAAAACAAAACAAAGCAACAAAAGAAAACAAAACAACCACCCAGGTATATCATAGTAAAAATTAAAACTTAAAACTTACTATGATATACCTGGGGTGGTTGTTTTGTTTTCTTTTGTTGCTTTGTTTTGTTATCTCCCTGGTTATAGCCAAATTATGGAAAGAGCCTAAAATTCCATCAACTAATGAATGGATAAAGAAATTGTGGTTTATATACACAATGGAGTAAGTAGTACATGGCAATGAGAAAGAATGAAATATGGCCCTTTGTAGCAACGTGGATGGAACTGGAGAGTGTTATGCTAAGTGAAATAAGTCATACAGAGAAAGACAGATACCATATGTTTTCACTCTTATGGGGATCCTGAGAAACTTAACAGAAGACCATGGGGGAGGGGAAGGAAAAAAAAAAAGACAGGGAGGGAGCCAAAACATAAGAGACTCTTAAAAACTGAAAATAAACTGAGGGTTGATGGGGGGTGGGAGGGAGGGGAAAGTGGGTTATGGGCATTGAGGAGGACACCTGTTGGGGTGAGCACTGGGTGTTGTATGGAAACCAATTTGACAATAAATTTCATATTAAAAAAATAATAAAAGTACTGAGTAGAAAAAAAATATTAAAATGTTACCTTTTTAAAAAATGTTTATTTAATTTGAGAGAGCAAGCATGTATGAGTAGGAGAGGGGCAGAGAGAGAGGGACAGAGAGAATCCCATGCAGGATCCGTGCTGTCAGTGTGGAGCCTGATGTGGGGCTCAATCTCACGAACCATGAGCTCATGACCTGAGCTGAAATCAAGAGTCAGACGCTTAACTGACGGAGCCACCCAGGTCCCTTTAAAATGTTACATTTTGGGGTGCCTGGGTGGCTCCATTAGTCAAGCATCTGACTCTTGGTTTCTGGCTCAGGTCATGAGCTCACAGTTCATGAGTTCAAGCCCCACATTGGGCTCCGCTCTGTGCAGAGCCTGCTAGTAATTCTTTCTCCCTGTCTCTCTGCCCTTCCCCTGCTTGCTCTGTTCTCTCTCTCAAAATAGACAAACTCAAAAATAAATAAATAAATAAAATGTTGCCTTTTTCTGTAGAAAAGATATAAGCAAGATGGCAAAGGAAAGATCCCTTCAAAGGATCTTCAAAGGAAATAAGTAATTACCAACCTAAATCTTTACGCCCAAGAAAACTAACATTTATAATCAGGCAAATAAAAGTTTGATGAAATTAAGAGTAGGACAATGAAAAGAAATATGAAAGGGTTTTCTTTGGTCTAAGAAAAAAGATGATCCCAGGTGAAAACTTAAAAATGCAAGAATGGGGTGCCTGAGCGGCTCAGTCGGTTAAGGGTCTGACTTTGGCTCAGGTCATGATCTCATGGCTTATGGGTTCCAACCCTGCATTGGGCTCTGTACTGACAACTCAGAGCCTGGAGCCTGTTTCAGATTCTGTGTCCCTCTCTTGCTTTGCCTCTCCCTCGCTCATGCTCTGTCTCTCTTTCAAGAATAACATTTTAAAAAAATGCAAGAAAAAAGATGAAAAGCAATGATGATGGTAAAAATGTATGTATAAATCTTCCTTGAGTTATGATGGGGTTATGTCCCAATAAAGCCATTGTAATTTGAAAAGAGCGTAAGTCAAAAATGCGTTTAAAACTGACTGAACATCATACCTGAGTTTAGCCTGCCTTCAACATGTTCAGAACACTTACGTTAGCCTACAGCTGGGCAAAATCATTAAACACAAAGCCTATTTTATAATAAAGTGTTGAATGTTTCATATAATTTATTCAACATTGCACTGAAAGTGAAATACAGAAAGGTTGCATGCGTGTGGAATGGTTTTAAGTTTTTCATTTACCCCCACGATGGCATGCCTGAATAGGAGCTGTGGTTTACTACCACTGCCCAGAATCACAATAGTGTATCATACTACATTATCACTAGTCCAGGAAAAGAGCAAAATTCAAAATTTGAAATGAGTACTTTCACACCATCGTAAAATTGAAAAATTTTAAGTCAAACCATTGTTAAATTGGAGACCATCTTTATATCTAAATGAACAGTAGCTATATAGAACAATACGTTCTGTGGGATTTAACAATGC